CTCAAGCCCGTCTGATATGCTGGTTCCTGTCTCTAATAGTGCCTGGGAGCAGAGAGACGGGAACCAGCATATGAGACGGCTTGTTCTCCCCAAGCTCAGCTGTGGGCTTCAGGGATCCGGGGAAGGTCTGGATAACCTGCCCACCCCTTGGGGAGGAAGGCCAGTTGCTACCCTCGTCTGCATTGTGACACTAGCAGGCAAGGAACATATGTATTCAATTATTTTGGATACATAATATCCATAAATTGTAGATAAGGAACATTTGGATTTAATTCTTTTAGTTATTCTGAATTATATAATAAATTATAGTCACCCTATTGTGCTCTTGGACATGAGAATTTATTCTATTTAACTGTATTTTTGTACCTGTTAACCTGTCCCTCCCTCTCTGCTATATAATCAGTAGGTACTGTAGTTCTGCCTCCTTTTTAATCCATCTTATGGATGCACCATAATTTATTTAGACTAGCTTATGTTGATTGCTCTGCTCTGGGTTGTCAAAGCTCCTGAGAATGCAGAGGCACACAAAATATGTGGATTTAGGTGTGTAGGTGCGTGTGTGGTTTAGGGGTGTAATACTGGCTTAGATGACAAAGATTGGCAGCTGAGGGACTGTTTGCTCCCCCTTCTTCCTGACCCTACAACCAGCTGCTTGCCCCTTGGCACTCTGTGTCATCAGATGTGGTGTGAAGATATTCCACCTGTCCTTTGAGCTGGTCCAGAACCGTTTCTGTGCTCAGAAGCCTCACCTCCGTCTCCTCACCATTCGTAGATGGATACCTCTGCTCGGCTGCAAAGCATTCTGCCTCTGCAGGGTTCTAAGTACTGAAAGAAGCCAGCGAGGCTCTGGAAGCCTCAGGACTTTGCTGGAAGTCTCCCTTCTTAGGATTGAGAGCTTTTATTTTGCTGCAGTATTGACAAGAATTTAATTGAAATATAATTTTTAATTTTCCCTTAATGTCTAGGGTACCGAGCTGTTCTGCCTTTCTGGAGTGGTGCGTGGAGAATATCAAAATGAGGAAATCGACAATCTGGGCCATTTTATTACAGTTATGAAGTTTAGGCCTCTCACATGGCAAACTTCTCACCCTTATATCCTGACAGACAGGTAAAAAGTGATTGTAAACTTTTTCTTCATGGGTCCTATATTTCAAAGCTATATTTCAAAGGCTAGAAAAAAAAACAATGATAGAATTTATTTTTTGCCTATTTGAATAGTGGGGGTAGAAGTGCAGTTGACGGAAAATGTCTATTGCTCCAAGATGCTGTGCCTTTGGGAGTAAATTAATTATGAGGTATTTAGGAAAATGGGAGGACTTGGAAGCACTTAAGGCCACAGGATATGGCCCCGTCCTGTGTTCAGTGTCAGTTTTCAGTGATGCTGCCTTGTGTCCATGGCTTGAGTTCTTTGTGTGTGCCTTCAGTTTCCTTCCTTTGTGCTCTTCCTCATGTGGTTTTTTCAGCCTGGAATACCCTTTTCCACCTGCTGGAATCCACATCACAGTAAAAATCCCAGAGTACAGGCTTGCCCTCCTCCAGAAAGGGATTTTCTGAATATGTTTTTCACTTTTCCCTGACCCCGGGTGGATATCATCTCCCTGTCTGGTGTTATGGAATGAATGTCACTTTTAGCCTACAGTGTTATGTCTGCCCCTTTTCCTCTGGTGGATGGTGAATGGTGCTTTCTTATTTCTGTATTTTCTAGTTTTTTAAATGACATGCTTAGTGGACCAGAGTGTGGTGAGTCATTGAAACATGAAAGGAGGTATAGGAACTTTTGACATTCATTTCTGCTGTGTGACTGAATTTATTTTTCTAGGGTGGAAGATTTGACAAACCGAGAGGATATACAAACAAACATCAAATGTGACC